TTTCTGGCAACACATCACCAAGAAAGATCGGCCTAGGTCTTCTCCTGTTCTTCCATGTTTCTTCATTAGCCAAAGCAACTTCAATGTTATATCCGAAAACATGGTCATAGATCTTCCTACCATACTGCACAGGAACCTCATCCAGTCCTCGCTCAAATATGTCATCTGTAGGTTTTACTGAATCAGATCCATCACCAGTATGAACAAAGAGATCATTCTCTTGATTTCTATCACCGAACAACTTTGCAAAAAGCAAGTCCTTTGCCCAAACTATGCAGTGAACAAACTGTAACAAATAACAGTCACAAATGAATAACAGACCCTAATAATACAAAGTCCTAAGGGTGTAACAAAACAAATAAAGAAGACAACCTACATTAACCTGTGGTATCACCCAACAAAAAAAATCATTTCATGTATGGGATCTCTAATTGAGTTAATCATAATTTTAATAAATATTTGGCACATTCCCAGTAGAAGCAACTTTCTTTCAAATTTCAAAACTTAATATTCACATAATCAATATAAATAAGGTTCTCTCCTTTGCAAAAGTTATAGTTAAAACAATAAATATATCATTAGAGATAGAAAAAAACACAAATTATAAAAGCATCACTTCGATGAAACGGAAAACCTCTCATGCAAATGTGAATAGTGTTATTTTTAATCAGCATCACAAAGCTTCCATGGTAGAAAATAATAAATCAATATCTGTATGCATATAACCGAATCACATTCTACTCTGTGAATGAGTTTTACATTGTCCACAGGATCGCCAGCTCTGAAACCCTTGGGCAGGTCTAAGTTATAGAACAAAATAAGATCACAATGTCCTTTGTGGAGTACATCCTGAAGGCAACATTACATGAACTGATACTTAAGCCCCATAATTGCTTGCATAGCCTGAACCAGATCCGATCCCTTTTGTGCTACACTTGATCTGAATCTAACAAAAATTTGCTTAAGTACCACCAACAATTGGGAACTGGAAGAATAAATGTCAAACTGCAATAGAATGAACTAGTTTCTCATTTGAAGCCTCACAAAATTGGCATCTTTTAAAAATGATGATATTACAAGAATCAACCAACCAACAAACCCATAGGCCAAGCTGATTCACTTCCCTCTCACAACATGGGATGAATTTCTTATGCAGAACAAGTCAATTTCCTAAATGGGACCTTCTACAGCAGCACCTTGTCCTTGAAGCTGACCAATTCTTACCTATTAACCAATGAAATAGGAGAACTAGAACCATTATGTAACTTCTGCTACTAGCAACATAAGTGATCATAAAGGTTGACCATGGTTCCAAGATGCCTTTTGTTGAACCTACAGACTATTTTAGACTTTAATTAACCCAAAGCTTCATACAGACAGAGGTCTTGTACTAGTTTGCGACCTTCACTGTCTTCTTTAGATTGGAAACAGCCTCATTCAATCTAAAATAATATCTTAACCCAAAACCATCACCTTCACTACCATCTTGTTTCCTTTAATGATATACAAGTATCCAAAAGTATAATGTACAAGGCAAAATATATGAAGCATAAGTCACAGAAGAATAACATTTCATATAGCAGTAAGATGTTATGGAGCAATAACACCTACTTTAAATGGCTCACTTAGTACATAAAGAAATGATAATTTTATGATGACAGTAATGATCATTGCCAGAGTTTTGAGTTTCAACCTTCGACGGAGTGCTAGTAATAGTGCAGACAGGATAGGTCTTTGGAGTCGGTTTTGGCTGGCACTCATAACATTCAGTTCGGCCCTTGATATGGACAGTAACCTGCTCATCATGGAAAAGCAAACATATCTATCAACTGAAATCACTATAACAAAGATATGCAAGTCTATTTTAAAGATCGTAGATTGGATTCATAGTTTTGAAGTAAATGCAGTAGAACAAAAACCGAAAGGGAACAAACCAGTTATTCAGGAACCTACCTAGTCCTGCAATAAGCAAGCCAAAAGTGTAGGAGATATTCTTAAATTGCTTAATTGTAAACCAGGTAATTTGCTAACTTGCCAAAGTAAGTTTGGGATCAACATTCAAAATATTTGCAAATATATATTACGGAGAAAAAAGTCAAGAACTCCTGGTAGTTGGAATAAGACAAATTGTTCTGCTACCTTTATACTTTAGTTTCCCCCGATGCTCCTATAAAAACTTTTGCAAAAACATATTACGAAAAACACATGCACTCCTAGTAGTTGAAACAAGACAAATTGTTACACTACCAGTATACTTCTGTGACTCTGTCAGCCCCAAAGCTAAGCAGCATGCTTAAAAGCCATAATCAAGTTTATTACCAAAATTAGAAATTAGTGAATTGTAATATATGTGGTGGAAATGTAACTGACACTAAGACCTAACAAAAACATGACCAAGAGAAACTACAACATCAACAACTCAAATAGTAATAATACTTTACATGAGAGGATGGCAACATGCCAGCCACCAATCCAGGGTAAAAAGAGAAACTTGTAGAAAGCAGATAACATTCCAAGACTCAAGTCACAGGAAACACAAGATAAATTCAAAATTTAACAAAAAAAAAATTTATCATATTATCAAGGTAACAAGATTAATTACGAGGGAATTTTAATTTAAAGAAAAATGTTTTGTTTTTGTATCTACTTGTGTCAATGTCAATTCAAGAAAAATATAAGAACTTCAAATACATGGTTTGGATACACCACCCGGTTGCAACAACATGTGACCAAATACATATGTTGTGGAGTGGGATGATGAATTGATTGTCCCAAAGATTTTTCCATATCCATATTATGGCAAGTGCCCATAAATTTATTTATTTTATTTACTTGTTTGTTTGTTTGTTTGTTTGTTTGTTTATGATGTGTGAATGTCAATCTGTATATCATCTGACAAATTTCTTCCAAGGAAAAAGACAACCAATGGAGTATATAGCAAAAACATATAGTATTAGTACAATACATGCTAACTGAATCATAGTAAATAAAGATGGTGATGACAATATCTTTATTAAAAAGAACACTAAGGATGACAGCTTCATCAAAAGAAAGAAAAGCTGAGGATGGAAGAGTTTGCGAGTTAGCCACAGGTTCACTAATACATATGCAAGAGTTTGAGAAATAATAATAATCAATTTATGATCCTACCTGCCCCAAAAACCCTGTTGTTCCACTTTCAACCAGAGGAACTTCAGCAGCCAGGCAAAGACGGTTAACATGTCGTCTAGCATCTAAATTGTCAAGACCATTCAATATGACATTAAATTTCTTAAAAAAATCCACATTGAACTCAGGATCCTTCACATTTGCATGATATGGTGTTATACAAATTCGAGGCATAAACCTTAAGACAACATCTCGAGCAACCTGAATAAAACCAACAATGTAATTGAAACATTCAGAACCACAGCAAACTTTAGAAGAGTCAACTATAATTTCAACAGAAAAAAGATAAACTGAATCCTTACATACTTTGGCCTTAGATTGCCCCACATGACTTTGTCGAAACAAAAATTGCCTGTTCAGGTTACTTACTTCGATAGTGTCCATGTCAATCTGCATATGTGGAATAATACCGAGAGATATAAAACAATAATTAACACAAGCACCAAAATTCTTATGGCAGGAAGTACTATTACAACAACTTTACGGATGAAATAAAACCAATGACAAGCATGGCTTTTTTCCCTCTGCACATAACATTGTTACACATCACTTAATATTCTGAAAATTCGAAAATAATGATTCTCTCCCCTCCTTCCACCTCAGAATCTTATGTCTTTAATGGGCGTCAGAAAGATTCAACCAAACCAATAAAATCGAGACATGAAAATGTCAATCATTTTTCACTTGGATAAACAACAACCAATTTCCTCCGCTTCTCCACTGAAGACAAATAGCATGTGACATTAATTCACCAAAAAACCTATTCACTGACCGTCGTGTACACCACAGTAGCTTCTTTTTTTCATTTCAGATATTGTCCAACCTTTATACGCTAAGACAAATTGATGAAGCATAATAATCATTACTTACTTTAGTCGCACTTTACTGAAATACCAAAAAAGCACATAGTACTAGCAGACACAGAAGTAGTTTAGATAACCCGAAACAGCTTATCCTCTACTAAACCCTAAAATTTCAAACATCTAAAATCCATCGCAGACGAAAATCTCGAAGCCAAATTACAAGAGAAAAGAAGCAAAATATTTAAGCTCGTGACCGGTTAATTACGATGTGAATATCCTGAAAGCCCGAGAGCGCCAGGGTCTTCAGCAACTCGCAGCCAATGCCGCCCGCACCCACCATCAGCACCTTCGCTCGCTGCAAACCAAATAAAGAGAAATTATTCACCTTCAGTTACCTTCCAACTTCCAAGTAACCTAAAGAAAAACCAAAACACAGTAATAGACCGCAGAAGAAGAATTCAACACCGCACCTTAATCGCCTCCGTCTTCGAATCCGAATCCATGGGGGCGTGAAGCGGGGAACGGGAGCACGGAACGAAGAGGTCGATGGCGAATTTGGGGGACTGCAAGTGTAGGCGCGAAGAAACGCGAGACAGAGAAGGGGGGAATCTGACGAGCCATATATATATATAAAGAAAGACCAGTAAAAACGTTGATCGGGAGACTAACTATTCCTAATTCTTATCTTAAATTACATACATACATACATACAAACATACATACATACATATATATATATATAATCATATTTTAGATTTAGAATATGATAATTGAGGGGTCGTGAGAAATAAAAATATCATTAAAAATTAAGAAATTATATGTTATTATTTTTTAGGGGATTGCATGGAGTATGAAGTTGTCAATAGCAATCACCAGTTAAAACATTTGTACATCGAGTAAATTTTAGGACTAAAAAGGCCAAATCTAATTAGCAAAAGCAACTCAACTTTTGGTAAATAACAAGATAATGTAGGGGTATTAAAGGGAGAAAAGAACACAAATCTCACCCCAACCCCTCGTTCGCCGGTTGACCCACCGGAATGAAGAGAAGGCCGGCTGAAGAGGAGAGGCGAGGAGCGTCGCGCCGCCGGCGACGGCGATTCTGCTCACCTGCCGAGCTTGGCCAACGGTACCCAACGACGACAGCTCTTCGGCGGAGCGCAAATGGGGAGAGACGAACGTTGGCCGGTGGGTACCTATTTTTCTATTTACATTTGCGTCGTATATACAACTAAAGAGTGCTCAAATTAGGTTTAAAAGAGATCGAAGATATCCATATTACCGAATAATATTTTTCTCCGGAGTTATCCACATTACAATATTTACGTTTTAGTTTGTATTTTGTAAGGTAATAGAAGAAATGACATGAATAATGATCCTCTTGGAGGACTTTGCTAATGCCTTTGCTATATGATGAATGATACTCATTGCATTTATTGTATATATGAGGTAGAAGCATAGTTACTGTAAAGATAATACTATGTGATCTTTATAGATTATATAGCATACATCAATCTTTTAATTATTCTTGAGTAATTATAGATTATATAAGTCTATTCTCTTCTCATGTTCACCCATAAACTTATTTAAACATCTGTTCTGACTTGTTGTTTTGGACATAAATGAGACACAAAAGGTTTTTCAGATAATGCATTAATTTCTTATATAATTTTTCATATATTTCTCTTAATTATTATTTTTTATTTCTTGTTTTACTTGGATTTTGACTTGAGCAGTATGAGAGTATTCTACTAGATCCGCTTCGGCACATCCTTTTTCTTTATAGATTGGAGTTTTAGTCTGCCAGAGTTCTGAACATAAAGCTTATTTAGTTTAAGAGCAAAGGATTAGATCAAACTTGGCACCCAGGTCAGCTCAACGACTAAAGATCACCTCATTATCAAATAATACATAAAAATATACCACAAGACAGTAGGTAAATTCCTTTTTTTTCTATTGACTTCAAGTTTCATGAGATCAATTTTTCCATGATACCAAATGAATGACTCTTGAATATAAATGAATAGATTATGTGCCATCTATCGGCTTTTTTTTCCCAAATAAAATGACAAACCAATATATGTTCAATTGTAGACATTGAACAGGAAATATTAAAACAGAAGTATCACTCATCAACTCTTGCATTTGCTTCAGTAAATCTGTGTTTTTTTTTTTCCACATTGGATGATCCTTTGAGGCATAACTGAATAAACTGCTCGAAAGTAATTGCTCAGCATATAGTTATTTAGGCTAAACATGACACCGATGATTCTGGTTTTACATTTTTGCTAGGAATTTTATGATTCATTTGTCATGCCTGGTGACTATATATGAATCTTTGTTTTCTATATATTACTTTACGAATATCACATTTTTCCTTATCTTCCTTCATGTCATAGTTCATTAGACTACTTGGTGATTGTCCTAAATTGATATCAAAACTCAGTGCCACATATTGAGGCAAAATCTCTACTTGCAGTCTCTCTTTAACACTACAAGAAATGACATGATGCTAGTGTGAGAAGCTCTGGTCCTAGTGTGAGAAACCCTGGTGCTGGTGTCGAGCCCCTTGGAAGCTCCGCTTCCACCTCCTCCTCCCCGGGAGGAGTTATTCCCTCCTCCTAATGTTCTGCCAGACCTGACTCAGGATGTGAATCCATTAGTGGCTAATCTCTTTGTTGTTGCGAAGCCTGCAAGGGAGGGATTACTGAAGACACTGATTCAACCCCAGCGGCAGGAAGCCTCTTCCTCCTGGGCATATCTTTTTAGAAAAACAAAAGAGGAAACCGAACTCCATGTTGGAGGAGAAATTGATTCGAATCCAAAACCAGGCTGCTCTTTGGGTGGAGCCCGATCCAATGGAGGTGTTCTCAGCCTATGAGGAATGGTAGACGAGCCTCGACAATAAGTTCTTAGGTAAAATCTTTTATCAATGGGATGCAATATTGTAGACATGACTGATGGTTTCTTATGTTTTCAATTTCATTCGTTAGAAAAGATGAACAAGATTTTGTAGGGGGACCATGGTCCTTGCGTGGGCAGCTCCTGACCTTAATACTATGGAAGCTGAACTTCTAGTCGCTTCTTGGTGAAGAAAAACACTATATCCACCTAGATTCAACTCCCTGAGCTCCCTCTAGAGTTGCTCCAACCAAACTTTCTAGAGTAAATTATGTCCAAAGTAGGTAGGTTCCTCAAATTAGATCAGGTCACTCTAACCCAATCTAGGGGCAAGTTTGCCCAGATGTGTGTTCTTCTGAATCTGTCCGCACTAGTTCCACAAGGGCTTTGAATCCAAATAGGAGAGTCACAATTTTTCTAGACTATTGCATATGAGAACTTACCTAACATTTGTTTTAAGTGTGAAAGGGTTGGACATCGAATGTCCAGTTGTGAGGCATCCTCATCTGTGTCCAGTCCCCCTGTGCCAACTCCGACAGAAGAGCCGATAGGAAATCCTAATCGCAAGGGAGATGGTGAGTTACTATATGGTCCATGGATCTAGGTCCAATGGCGACCGAAACCCAAACCAGGGAAAAATGACTTGGTTAATAGAAAGGTGTGGCCCAAGGGATGGTTGGACCAGAATTTGGATAGGGACCTAATCCACCTGGCTCAATTCAATTGGGGTTTTCACGCCCCGTGACGGAATTGAGCCATGGGTCAATGCCTTTCTGGGTGAGGGTTCAACAACTGAGATTGTACCTTCTCTAAGGGCAGCATTCAATATTGGTGGTATGGATCTCTCTGTGGCAAGGCAAACGGTAGCTTGCCAGGGTCTCGTTGCCCCTGCCATTATAGGGGATTTGCCTGAGTCATTGGTTGTTTCGAGAAGGCATAGGGGAAGAACACAAAAGGTAAAGATCGAGTCCTCAAGAATAGATGGGATTGGTGACATAGCCATTGCAATGGCTGTTAAAAGGAAAAAATTGCCAAGTGTCTCGCCATCGGTGAATTTCCCATTCTGGAATAAGACAGCCATCCTCTCCGATGGGCGAGAGGTCATCTATCGAGCGGCTTCATCTATCCAATCGTTTTGTAGTGTTCCAGGATATGAAAGATGTAGAGATAATGAGCCTTAGGAGAGACGATATCTCTTTTGTATTTGAGTTGGACAAACAAAAAGAGCAGGTTGAAGGCAAACCCAGGAAGATTGGGAAAGCTGGGTGCATCTCCCATGATGAGCTCGTGGACGAGACAACGAAGGCTTTCTAGGAGGTGGTGTCGCTGATAGAAGTTTGATTTCTACTAATCTCTCTTGGTGCATGAGGGACTTTGGCCCATTAAGTACTTAGGATCCTATGTCCACTACAAGAGACTTGAGAAGAGACCTCAAACAGTGTTGGTGGATAAAGTTCTCAACAAGGTTTAAGGCTGGTTTAAAGGGTTGATCTCCTAAGCTGAAAAGGTCACTATAATCAAATACGACTTAAATGCAATCCTGCCTATATTTAATGAATAATAGAATTTTTAATAAGATAATTAAGAAGATACAGATAATAGCCCGTGAGTTTTTTTGGAACCATGATGAGAGTAGAAACAAAATGAATCTTATTGGGTGACAATACAATTACCTCATCAATGGAGGATGGTGGATTAGGGATCAAGGACTTAAAGCTGGCTAGGAAAACAATCTATGCCAAGAGGCTTGTGCCTCTCCTCAATAATGAAAACCTACTTTGGGTTAGGGTACTCATGACCAAATATAGTAGGTTATATCCTTGGAACAACTCAAATTTGAGTGGTTGCTCTTGGAATTGGAGGAATGTTTGCTACTGTGTAAAGAATGTCCAAACTGGGTTCAAGAGGAGTGTTGGATCTGAGCACAGTTATCAATATTTGGATCGACGCTTGGATAGACATAGTCCCTCTCGGCCACTGGATTACTTTTATTAATATCAATACAACCCATTTTATTACTACTGTTGCTGATTTAATTGATGAGCACAGGTGAAATGTTCAGATACTGTGTGCTTATTTTCATTCCCTGCTTGTAAGAAGAATTATTGGGATCTTCTTGGCTAAGAACCCCGATGATAATAAATGGGTTTGGGCCTCAACACCGGATGGTAATGCCATGGCGATAGTACTAATCACCTATGGATATTATCTTCCAATGCAGGTTTACGCGCTTGATTTGAGATAAGATTGCAGAAAATGTTATAGGTTGACAAGGGCAAGTGTGAGGAATGGTACAATGGGAGTTAGCCGCCTTTGGAGGAACAGTGCATCATCAGTTCATTTGATAAGGATGTGTCTTTAGTTGTAGTAGCAAACACCTTAAGGCAGCTTTGGGTAAAATAGGGATAAATCCTACTTCAGCAACCACCTGGGTCAGTGTTGGCTCCCTACTTAGGAGGGAGGTTGCAGTCATTGATGACTGCTTCAGAGTATTCAACAAGCCTGAGGGAACTGTTCGACCACCATACCTCCTTGGTGGCGGATAATTATAACTTCAGCATCGAATGTGATGACTCGTTTGATGAGATCTTCTTATATAATGCAAATGCAGGTACAAGTACAGGATACGTGATACTGACTCAAGCAAACGGATGATGGCAGCGAGAAGTGCAGCTTGCTCAGCGGACAACTCAATTGCTGGCGGAAGGTCTAACAGTCTTGAATGGACTCTACAGAACGAAGGAAGAAGGCTGGGAAAGGGCAAGGATATAAATGCAGTGACTCGAAGCAGTGGGCTGACACTGTGATTAGTGCTGCTACTGTCGTTCCCTGGTTTTTGAAGGCTTTGTACATGATGAATATTTTGAGCTTGGTCAGTGAGACCAGAAGGACAAAACTGTTTTCATTTTAAGAAGCAATTTAATGAGAATGCTCACAGGTTAGCAAATTAAGGTAGAACTCAAGGAGTGTCTTCTTCTTCCTGGGGGAGTTTGGATGGGAATTGGCCTCCCATCTTTTTTATGTTTAGTTTCTGGCTAAACTCACATGGTGACATTGCAATCCTAAATCATTAAAATCTCATGAGGCTGACAAGCTCACAATATAATAGGATCAGCAGACGAGAGAAGTGGATGTTCAGCACCGTGTTTATGATGCGCAGAACATGATCTCAGGATCCCTGCAGCCCACATGGCTGGCAATTCCGGCCTCCGCCGACCACCGCCCACGTTACTCCGCTCGCCTAAACACCACCGCCCCCTTCGTGGGTCTAAAAGCGGACTGCAACCTGTAAAGCGCTCGTCGGTGAAACATGTAGCTGCCACCTGACTCCTAAAACCTTCGAGATTCCGTGCACCGACCCTCGCAGGGAGAACATGTTAGTCTTCGTTTGATGGAGATGCGACCGTCGTCGAGGTTGTCAGTGAAGCGGCTACCAACGCTTTAGTCTCAAAGACCCCATGGCCAGCGAGCAGCAGCTTCTCCTTTGATTGCGGCCGGGCCGACAGGAGCACGTTTTGGCCACATGATCGCCATGATTGAAGATCGAACGAACTGTCTTCCTCATCCACCTCGACAAAAATTCTCCATCACAGCTTGTTTTCCTTCCCAACTTGGAAGGCACTGCAGACAAGCTGGACAACAACACGCAGTTCCAGCGTTGTCGTCAGGCCAGCTAGATGTGATCTGTAGGATGCTGGCCATGCAGCTTGCGTCTTTATTCCTCGAATACCTGCAGGTGATGAGAGCGTGCCATCAGATCATGATGAGGATTGGAGAGTTTGATCTGTCAGGGGACCATGTTTTGCAGGAGACAACCACCACATTAAGACCACACAAGCTTTGCTGCATGTTCTCCGTCAGACTAAGAGGAGGATAACATCAAAGAATTGGGTGAACATTTGCTGCACCCACTTGTTTTACAGGATCATGTGATGGTGTCAAGAATAACATACAAAGTCGACCTACAAGTAATGAGCAGCTGACATCCTACTTCTAAGAAATCAGTAAAATGGGAACAACAGATGATTCATTACTCTTTTATTTATATTTATATAATGTTGAAATTTATAGAAACAAATATCTTATTATTTCAGAAACCTTGCAAGGGTAGATGTGTAAAAATACCTCAATATATTAGGGGGCCAAGAAAGTGGGGATTGGCCAACTGCTAGTGGGGCCATCTGCCCCGCTTAACCCGCATGACCTTCGACCTCTTCCCCAGCCCTGCCTTTGCCTATTAAAGCCCATGGCAACCAAAGAAGCAGGGAAAGGGGCAGGAATGAGCACTAGAAGCAGCTGATAGATAGATCGATAGATAGATAGATAGAGCTGCTGAGTTACAGTGAGGAAGAGAGAGAGAGAGACAGAGAGAGGGCTTGGACTACTCTTCCCTCGCACTTGCTTGTTTAGTGCAAGAATACTGGGGCTAGTACTGTTATTTTCTTCGAGTGCTAGTGCTACATGGCTGTGGAGGTAGAAGATGACGTGTTCTTTGCAGATCTAAGCAAGCAGCTTGCGCTGCTAATCATGGATGATGAGGAAGAATTCCCGGCGCAGTATCCTCTGCTTCCGGCTCAGGTTGGTCGCCAGTTTGCTCACTCCTCTTTGTAAACCCAGTTTCCTTGGCTGATCATAGGAGAGGGGATGAGATTCCTGTATTGAAACCTTGCTCTGCTTTTGCTTTTTCCCTTTGTTTTCTTCATCTGTTAGGTATTGCTTTTACCGGTTGTTCAAAATTGAAGCTGTATAATAGTAAAAAAAACCTGTGTATAATCCATTGTTAACTTCACTTTATATACACTCAGCAGCAATTCATGATTCTTTATATTGTGCAGTCATCCATCTTGAGGTCACTTCTTAGTTAAGACTTTTACCTCTTACGATCACTCAAACCTCCTTGTCATGAACATGATCTGAACCTACTTGATGACATTGTATAACAAGGGATCATACTCTTTTGTCCACAGGAGCTTCCTTACATGCCCCAAATCATGATGCCACCTTCATATGGCTATGAAGTGTCCTACAGAAGGGAGAGCAAAGGAACTGGGGTGTTCATTCCACAGTCCACTGCACCAAGAAGGAAGAACAGGTCAAGGAGGCAAACCACAGTGGATAGCCACCCCCAAAGGCAGTTGAACAAGTCTGCCATTGTGGTTTCTCAAGTCACCAAGAACTATAACTTTCATCCCAATCATTACAGTCACTCAAGTGTGCTAAAGAGACACACATAGAGCTCTCGAGTGATCTCTGTCTCACACTAACCTCTCTGGTCCTGGTAGATTTGTTTACAGTGTCGAGTGTCTTCTATGGTGCACTGCAGAGGGAAATAACACTCTTCCAACTGGTGTTGTGCTTGTGAGGAGGGCCTATAATAAGCTTCAACCCTCTTCAGTGATTAATGCAACTGATGAAGGGCAAATAGGAGTGGATCAAGTGATCATTGAATGTATTGATTGGTGAATGTACAGCATGATAATAATCATGTTATTGAGATATTGTTATTGATGTGATGAGGGCCTTCAAGTCCTCTTTATCTGGAGGCCAACCAAAGCAACAATGAAGTGCCAAATGCTAATAATGTACTTAGTACTCCCTTTCTAATCTAAAGGGTTTTTACAATATCTATCCTGCCAAAGTTTGGAAATAGTGTATTTATGCTTGTAAAATTTTGATATTACATATATTTCTTCCTTCTTTGTTAACTTTCCTCCCAATAATACAAGTAAATTGCTACCAACTAGTTCAAGCCAATATACACATCTAATGCATAAAATATCCTTAATTTTCTATCAATCATAAAACTTTTTAAGCTTGCTAATATCTAATGCACTAATGTTTCAACTAATAAACAAATGAGAGTGATTTAACTACATGTCATCCCTGTACGTGAGGTCCCACATCAGCTGGCAACAGTTCACAGATTGCCATGGGGGGGCCATACAGGATGGTACATCTGCCTCAGGTATAGATGATGACGATGCATGCATGTGATGGCCCTGTGTTGTTACCATGCAAGCAATTATCTATGGCATGGGAACAAATGGGGCCAGAATCGAATACCAAACACATGCATGGCAGATCATGGTCGGCATGCATGCCAGGTTATATCTGCATCATCTGCTGTGGAATCTGCTACTTTCTTGGCTGGTGTGCACCGAGTCGCACGCAATTCCCCATTGATTTATGGGAGTGCCTAACAAATAATGCTCTCTTCTTCATCGCATTCTCTGCAGCAGATTCACTTACAAGGGTGGGTGGAAACCTGTAACGTCGGAGGAGATCGAAACAATAACTAGTGAACAAACTCTGCCACTTAATGTTGGCTTCATCCTTTGGCCTATGAATGCATCTAATAAGCAGAAAAGACTTGCGAGTGAGAGATTGTGGAGCCTCGTTCATTTATCCTCGTCAAACTTGGACAGCAGATCACCTTTAGGCTACTGAATTCATCTTGTTATACGAGAAATCATAGGAAGAATTCATGAACGTCTACCTGAAACTTGAGAGATCTCTGCCCAGCTCTCGGGAGGACCTTGTGCAGCATCCTTAGTGATGTGAGTTGATCCTGTGCGTGCAGCTCTGCAAAGGAACAGCCAGCCGTGAAATATTAGTACATGCAACACCGTCATCGGAGAGAGGAACCAGACCCTGTTAATATGACTGCTGCTGTTTCCATTGAGGAAATGAAGCTGTAAAATGTGACACAATTTCAACAAGCATGTTATATTGGTCGGAGGACTTCGAAGGCATTTGGTCCAGCCTTGCGAAACAAGGTTGAAACTTGAATGTTAAGGTTGCAAGAATGCTGCAGTCTTCTACAAGCTAAAGCACTGATGTAAGCAGTGATAGCCCAGTCCAGAAACGAAGTGTAAGATGTGCTAGGTAAGACTCATGGAATTAAACTATAAAAAAATTCCTGGTATTAAAATAGAGGTTCATCAAGGAGTTGATTTCACTGAGACATTTAGTCTCATTGTTAAACCCACTACGATCAAACTTATCCTGAGTCTCGTCACTACTAAGGGCTCACAATTACATCAATTGAATGTTAATAATGTCTTTTTATAAGGGACTCTAGCTGAATATGTTTTTATGCAACAACCTCCTGGTTTACTATCTGTATGAGAGTTTGTAGAAAATGAAAATTTTTGATATTGATGTGTATGGGAGTTTGTAAGCTCGTATGGGAGTTTGTAGAAGATATTTAATATGTACTCAATCTGATTTACTATCTGAAGTTGGTTTAATAAGTAGATACATGAAAGCTCCTAAGAGACTCATTTAAATATCGCTAAAAGAATTTTATGATATATTAAAAAGTCAATTGAGTATAAAATATTTTATTCATCATTTAAATAGTTAGAGCTCATTGGATATAGTGATAATGATTGAGCCAAAAACTAGGAAGAGTACAATCAAATTTGTATTTTATTTCGATGAAATTACATTGATATGGCCTTAAAAAAAAAATAACATATCGTTGCTCTGTCAAATGGTAAAGCAGAATATATAGCGATATTTTTTTATGTTTGTCATGCAATATAACTAAGCCGATTACTATAAGAACTTCGTACGCCACAAAAGAAATCAACCAAGATTTATGTTGATAACAATAATTAGCTATTACCTTAACATGAATTCTTATAAAATGAAATATTGTATCAAGACAAAGAAGTTAAGCTACTTCATGTCAAAACAAACGAACAAATGGTCAATGTACTTACAAATCATCTCAAATTTAAAAATATTTTAATAGCATCTAAAAAAACTTGACATTAGATGGAATAAATTTAAGGGGAAAGAATATTAGAAATTAAATTGATTAAGATATCATAAAAAAATTCATTGTACCAAGAAAGAGATTCATTGCATCAAGGAGAAAAACAAGGGAGAAACCAAATTGACTATTGATTCTTGAAAGGATTTTTTTTTAAAAATGATTCATTTTAATTATAATTAATATAATATATCTATAAAAACTATATAAATCTCATATATTGAGTCATCAAATATATAAAATTTTTAAAATTATATTTTTTTTAGAAAAACATAAAAGATTTTATCTGGTTCTACTCTTCATTGTGTGTTAAAGCTATATCTCTTTTTTTCGATCAATTTCAACAAGACTCTGCTCTGAATGACAACTCCTTTTCCCTCCTGCCTTTGATTGAGGTGTATGCCGTTAATTGATGTGTGGCATAGTTTAGCTCTCGGACGTGATAGGAAAAAGAGGCTCTAATTCTGACAACTCATAATCTTTGGATGGCCATATCAATCAATAAAAGCTTGACTTTTTTTGTCATGTACAAATGTTTATTGCAAGGCTGCCGTATCCTATAAAGACGGCAACATTCACGACGAGCAGATCATATCTCGACAGCGAGCCAAATATAGCGGTATTGTAAATTCCTTTCCAACTCCCATCAGTTTTGGAGTTTTGGTAAATCCATACGATCGAGGTATAAATAGATTCGAGTCTCCAAGGTGAGTACCATAGCAAATCGATTGAACGATGATGAGGAGAGGTTTCCCGTGCTCCCTTCTTTGCCTCTTATCCTTCGTAGCCGCTGCCGGTGCTTCTCTGGGAAGTGCAAGACTTGCTTTGAGGCAGGGAGATGCCCTTAACGAGTTCATCTTCGATGTTACCAAGTTGCGAAGGGAAGCAGTCGATGTTGCTTCCTCTAAGGCTAGTATGTTTCTCGATGATCTGACCTCGAGAGTACATGACAACGATGGGTTGAAGGAGAAGGACAAGATCGTGAAGCTGCCCGGCCAGCCTCAAGGAGTAGACTTCGATCAGTATGCAGGTTACGTCACCGTCGACGCCCGAAGCGGACGAGCCCTCTTCTATTACTTCGCCGAGGCAGTCGGCCGTGATAACAGTTCCAAGCCTCTGCTTCTCTGGTTCAATGGAGGTTAGCGATCACCAGTTCATCGCTTCTTACATGTTCCTCAAGATCTTAACGAGACTGTGACCCAGGGCCTGGCTGTTCGTCCTTCGGGTACGGGGCGATGGAGGAGCTCGGTCCCTTCCGCGTCATGAGCGACGGGAGAACTCTTTACAGGAACCCGTATGCTTGGAACGCAGGTATGCAGCAGGAATTCACAGCGACTGTGAGCAGCAGCATCATGGTGTACTGATCGAACGTGATGATGCAGTGGCCAACGTGTTGTTCTTGGAGAGCCCTGCCGGCGTCGGCTTCTCGTACTCGAACACCACCTCGGATTACGACAAGAGCGGCGACCAGAGGACAGCCGAGGACGCGTACGTGTTCCTTCTGAACTGGATGGAGAGGTTTCCGGAGTACAAAGGGAGAGACTTCTACTTAGCAGGGGAGAGCTACGCGGGCCACTACGTGCCTCAGCTCGCCCTCACCATCCTCCAACACGAGAACCGCTCGGCCAGTGCTGCAGCCATCAATCTCAAAGGGATCGCGGTATCAGAACTCGACTCTCGGATCCAGTTTCTTTTCTTGTCTTGCGATTACGATCTTGCTGTAAGCTGCGTGTTGCTCGATGGAAGATTGGCAATGCGGCGATCGACATGGAGAGCGACAACAGAGGGATGTACGACTTCTTCTGGACGCACGCACTGATCTCAGACGCGACGGTGGATGCAATCCACAAACACTGCAACTTCTCGTCCGAGGACGACACACAGCCGCCGCAGTGCGCGCAGGCTCTGCAGGACGCCGAGAGGGTCTTCGAGGAGCTCGACATCTACAATATATATGCTCCGCGGTGCTCGTCATCCAGCTTGTCCCCCACTCCGAAGAAGCCAGAGGTTCGTCTCTTGCAACACATGTCCTCTCTGGTTCTTCTTCATTTCGATCTCAAGGTTGCTAAAAGCAGATTCCTCACTCAATTCTGAGAGATGCAGATTGACAATTTCGATCCATGTAGCGGTGTTTACATTAAGGCATATCTGAATGATCCTGACGTGCAGAAAGCGCTCCATGCTAATGTTACGAAGCTCGACTACCCTTGGTCTGGCTGCAGGTATGCACCCAAGCAAACTCTCTTTAACTCTGTTATATGAATGATTGATTTAGCAGCACCATTTTATGGCAATATTCTTGTTCTAGTTGTTACATCATCATCAGAGTCGACAACAGAGAGGGGTGATAAATTACAGGGTTAGAGGTAAAAAGCAAAGAGATGCCTATTAGGGTCATGATCATGTTCATTTGATCTCAGTGCTGTGGATCAATGACGTGGGTGTCACTTTAGTCGACTGCAAAAACCAGAAATGGATTCACTACAAATACCTATCCATGTGTGGTGATCATAATGCAGCAGAGGTTGCACATCAATGCCAGTTGATTTGTGGAACCTATTGTGGTCAGAAACAAAGACGGTCGACCACTAGGATGTTCCTTGTGGAATTCCTCTGGTCCAGATGGTGGAAGTCCTACCTAACATTAGGTGGAATCCATGTGTGTTTCACACTCATTTTTCGTCGTATACGAGCTAAAGAGATAGTATGTATGCATCAGCGACTGAGAATATTCCAGGAAGGCTATGTGCAGCACAGTTGCTGAAAAGAAAGCTAGCTTTCAAATATTGGAGAAGGTTTACGGTCAGCACAGTTGGCCTACAAACCAACAACAACAGCGAACAA